CATCTGACATGTTCCTCGAGCTTTAACCAAAGTCAACTCCTCATTTTTGTTTTTTGGAGACAGAGGAAGTGATTTCTCCATTCTTTGACAAATTCTTTTAAAATGTAAGTCTTCCTTCGCATTAGCCTTGAATTTTCATAGATAAGGAGATGGCTTGAGCATGTTTTTTTCCCTCGAAGTATCTCCATTGACATGTAATGGATCTAAGCATGTTGGTGAAAACTAAATTCTCTTTTCCTCCCCTTAGGAATCTCGGCATTACCCTTTTGCAGGTTGATAGACGTCGCGTATAATAGCTTTCCTTCTTGTATTTTGTGATTGAAGCTGAAGTTTCTTTTCTTAGGTTTTTTGTTTGTCGCATTTCATCATCCATGTACCTTATGCTCTTTTAGGGCGATTTCCTGGTTCACTTCATGGATATAGCTCGAGATGAACTCTCAAAGAAGCTTGATGAGATATCTGTGGAGAAGCTGCAGGTTCTATCTCACTGCCCTATTTTAGTGGAGCATGTAAATTTAAATATCAGATGTCTACTGTACAACAATTTCTGGACAGAAAACATTTCTATTGAGACAAGAACTTCTGATTGTATGTGTTTTTCTTTTTGGTTTGCTAAGTAGCCTTTGTCATTTTAAGTCTCTGCTAGACCTCGCCTTGCGTACCACAGCAGCTGCAGCAGACCCTTGCCATGAGGATTTAACATGTTGTGTGGTAAGAAGCTGCTTGCTAGGTCCTCCAATTACTCAGCTGACATTAAATTTGTGGAGAATAGTCTCAATCTGCTCTTACTGAAAAATTATATGGATATTCAGGAAAGATCATCTTTGCTTAAGAGACTGGAAGACATGGAGCTTAACCGCACTATTCCTGATGATAGTGAATTTGAGGAGCCTTTGAGCATTACTGGTCTAGAGACGTTTTGTCTTAGTTACAAGGTATGTTTCCCCTGCTTCTATCCTCCTTTGTGTGTGAAAACATACACGTCATGTGCCGGAATATGACTTAATGAATCATGATTATGGCCCTTGTGTGGAAAGTGACATTCAACAGCTAAAACTCTTAGAGCCTCAATTTTTGTAGGGAAAATTACTTGGACAACCTTGCAATTATGATTAAATTTCTAGGACAATATATTTTGAAAAATGACTTGGTCAGCCCTCCTGTTTTGATCGAATTACTTAGGGCCCGTTTGGCAAGTTGCCAAACAGTGAAAATTTCTATTATTTTGTTTCCAGAATCAGTTTTGGAACAAAAATCCGTTTGGTAAACTTTTTGTTCTCGGGCACAGTTTGTAAAAAATTGTTCCTAGAATCAGTTTTGAAACAGAATCAAAAAGCAAAAAAATGTAGCTTCTTGATTCTGGGAACAAAAATCAGAATTGCAAAAGAAATTATTTTTTTTCCTTCTTTCCTGTTGTTTACTGTTCTTCTTCTTCTTCAATTCTTCTTGCCTGGCCGGCGACCAGCGACCGGCAACACAGGTGAGGGCCGGCGAGGGTGTCGTGGCCCTCACCCAGGCCGCTAGCGGCGAGGGCCGCCCTCGCCGGCCTTTTCCAGCCCTCGCTTGAGCCGGCGAGGGCCGCCCTTGAGGCTCACAGCCTGGGCGGGGGTGGCGGTGAAAATCCAGCCCTCGCCGGATCCGGCGAGGGCGGCCCTCGCCCAGGCCGCGAGGGTCCAACCCTCGCCCTCGCCAGCGAGGTGGACCCTTGCCTGTGGCCAGTCGCCGGCCATGGCCAAGAAGGAGGAGAAGAAAAAAAGAAAAGAAAAAAAAAGAAAAAAGAAAGAAAGAAATATTAAAATATTTAAAAATATTATTAATAAAAAGAAATTTTGTGCCGTTACCAAACGCATTTCTGTTCTTTTTCTATTCCAGGAATGGAAATTTTGGGCCATTACCAAATGCCTTCAAATGCTCAGAATCAGTTCCTGGGCACAGAATCATTGCCATGCGCACCCTTAGACAACCCTTGTATTTTCATCAACTTTTAGAAAACCCCCTCTATATGGTCAAAAACTACTTTGAAACCCTTTTTTAATTAGATGTTCAAAGAAAAATAGTAATTGCAATGCTAATGAGACAAGTTTTGCTCGTCTTCGAAGATTTGCAAACTATTATAAACTAGATCTTAATTTTTGTCCGAGTAATTTTAAACTAATTTATTTTTTTAAAGTGGCTTTTGGAAAAAATTGAATTAGTTTGGAATACTTAAAAAATATTAAAACTTAGTTTAAAAATCTTTGAAGAAGTAAAACTTGACTCATTAGCACTGTAGTTACTCTTTATCTCAAATACCTTATTAATGAAGGGGATTCCAAGGGATTCGAGCAAAACCGGAGAGCTGTCCAAGTAATTTTTTAAAACACAACTGGAGGTTTGCTATAGTAACTTACCCTACTTTTCATAACTCCAATTGCCTTTTGGATTACCATGTCATTTGGTATTCCTTGACATTGGGTGAAGAGTAGCTTATGTCTACTATACTTAATTTTTTTGATCTTGTCCCTTGTTATGACCATATTCAATAGGAATGTTAGTTCCTGGAAATTACAAGGTGTCAGATGACTACATCTTTCACTTATACTTGTTTCACTTTTAACATAGTGTCATAAGGGTTAACATTGTCATTGACGTGCTGTTGCTTTTGCATTTTCAGGTTCGGTGGCCATTATCCATTGTTATATCAAGAAAAGCCTTGATGAAATATCAGTTGATTTTCCGCTTTCTTTTTCACTGTAAACATGTAGAACGCCAGCTCTGTGGATCATGGCAAGTGCATCAAGTATGTGTCTGCTTTGAAGTATTATCTGAAAGAATACCTTACTCTTCCATGTGTAAATTCTCCTCGTATTCTCTATCCAGGGAGTCCGTGCTCTTAAACCCGGTGGAACGGCTATAACAAGATCCTCTCTGCTGTGCCGCAGTATGCTTAAATTTATTAACAGCCTTCTGCACTACCTTACTTTTGAGGCAGGTTTTCTACTTTTATTTTTCATCCTGAATGCTTTTACTGGGGCACAATTGTTCTTATTATTCCTTCATCAAGTGAACAAGTGAAAGATGACAGGAAAAAGAAGCTTTCTTCTTTGTTTTAGCTCTTCGGTTATTGATCTTTCCTATTAAGTACATGAATTAGCTCAGGCAACATGAGCATATATGCATGCTACGGAAAGAGATGGAACTGTGACCTGAAATGAAAGGGATCCATTTAGAGCAATATAATATTATCCTCTTGTCCCATTGTCGAAGAACTCTCAATTCTTAATTATCATGTAAATAAATGCGATACTTGACCACAATATGAAATGAGGCGAACAAGATTGTACAACAGGACTTGTCACTCTTACGTGTATTATGCTTGACTAGGAGCAGTATTATTGGCAGCGCAGTGGTGCAAGCCGTGTCCTTATGTATGAGTGGTGGGAATCTATGGCTAAGGATGATTTAAACTTTTGGCTGCATTCTTTACTTAAACCCGAGCTAGGCACCTACTGGTTCAATCATCTTATTTAGGTTTATTTTTTTTCTCAGGTTCTTGAACCTAATTGGCATGTGATGCATAATAGACTTCAGACTGCAAAGAGCATAGACGAGGTTGGTTGGACTTCTCTCTCTCTCTCCCCTGGAAGGAAAAAGGAAAGCAAAGGGGGGTTGTGCTTCATTGAGATGCCTTGACACGTGGCTTTCAAAAGTTTCCTTTTAGCGTTACTGTCCGTCTAGTTTTGCTTATTACGTATCTGTCTCTGTGGACAGGTCATCCAACATCACGATTATTTCCTCGAGAAGTGTTTGAGAGAATGTTTACTTCTTTTGCCTGGCCTACTCAAGGTTTGTCCTGATTGCCATATTTAAATGAAAAAGCGAGCTTTTGAGTCATTGCCTATTCGTTTAGGATAGTGGTGATACGTTTGAGATATTTGAGTTCCACGTGAATACTGCAATAGATATTAGTGGCAGGGAATTTGTTCCTAGAAGAACGCCTAGAATCTCTCGTTGCATCACTGTCAGCCTCTTGCGACACTTGTAATGCGACTTTACGTTGGTTGTGCAAGCTCCGTATCAGACGAGTTCTATGACATGAGCTAAACCAAAGCTATTGGTCAGATTGATAACTGTGGCACTAATTCATAGGATTTAGCTGAAACTGCAATACAGAACTACATACTTTATTTGTTTTCCGTGGTTCACCTGTACAAGTGGATTTTATGATGCAGAAAGTGGAGAAGTTGAAGCTGTTGTGTGTACAATATGCTGCAGCCACTCAGTGGCTGATATCGTCTTCTGTAGACATCCCGCAGTTTCATGAAAAACCAGATAACTCCCGAAGGTCAGAAGATCCCAAGTCACGGAAATTGGTAACCCAATCTCAGGCTTCAAGATCAATGACGAAAAATGCAACGGTGACCAATTCTGTCCTGTAAGTATGGAACTATGAGAAAAGATGCAACGTTGTCGATATACAATACGAGGTCCTCTCTGCCATTCTCATTCAATTCGTTGTTGCAGCAAATTCGAGAAGGAGTTTAATGCTGAGATCCAGAGCCTGGGCACAATTTTGAGCAGTCATTCACAAGCAGAGCCGTATCTGACTCACCTTGCACAGTGGATCCTCGGTGTTGGAAAGAATCAATAGGTTCTGGTTCGCTTTTCCTTGAATTGAAGTAATCTATTCTGTAGGCCTATCGAGGATCATTTTTCTCATGCTTCCATCTGAAAGCTTCATGTCTATTTTTCCTTTCACTCTCCCTCTTTGTTTCATATGTCGAATCGTGTGATATGTTGCGAGCATGAGGTGTCCTAAGCCCAATAGGTTCGGATTTTAGTTGGACTGGAAGCAGGGCGGTGAATCAACTTGTTTTTGAACTAGTTTGTGCACTTCAGGCTTGAGCAACAATCTGGTATTAGCTCTTGACCACTCTGATCTTCTGTAGGATCTTCATGAATGCCTTATGTGGCATCCCTAAGAGGTCAAATATTATGAAGTGTCAAAACAACAAATGAAGTAACAAAAGAAAACCTCAGAAGAGAGAGGTGTCAATGCTTTATAACCAATGTTCCATCACTCTCTAATTTGTTTTTGCTACTCAAGCAGAAGTGTTAAGGCAGCTTCAAATGAATGCATTCCTCATGGTTGTGGTACATAAAAGGTGCCTAAACATTGTGAGCAGTGACTTTAGTTATTTTACACAATTAGATAATCACAAAATAATGACATAGCCAAATTCCAGTGCGAAAAATTGTCAGACGGTTGCTGCTTTAAGAGAGAGAAAATCGGATATTTTGTTTGTGTAGAAATCTGGCTGTATTTTGTTGTCTGGGCTTTGAAGCATTGACAAAGAGGTCACACCTATCAAAAGAACATTGAACGATCAGAACCAGAAATAGAGAACAGAAGTTGGAAAAGAATGAAAGACTTAACTAGGCACCTGAGAGAACTAGGAGAGTTTTACAGCCTCCATTTTGCCCAAACAGAATATCAGTATCCAGTCTGTCCCCGACCATGCAAATTTGAGACTTTTGAATGCCAAATCTGCCGAGACAAGAGGAGAAGAAGTTTGGTGACCAAATAGATGAGTGAGAGTAAGAAATGCTAAGTTGGGGAAAGATCTGCATTCTAATTGATGACATTACTTGTGATTGAATGGTCCAACATCTATCTATATTAACCAGTAACATCCTGCCATCATGATAAAGTATTTACTTCGAATAGGGAAAGAACTAAGTGAGACTGAGAATTCAGTTTTATCAAAGCATAAAACCTACATCGCTCATCACAATGACTATAGTTAACGGAAAAGGAATACTGGGATTAAGCCCTCAAGTTAGATCATTCATATGCAATAACTTAGTCCTTGTTTAGCTTCTTGTGGCTGCTGCACTGTTTTCTCATTAGCCAAGCTATAAGGCAAAATTGTAGTAGAACAATACGAATAGCATGCTAGACAAAGTCTTTACTCCGAATGATTAGCATAAAAAGATGTAATGTTTTCTCCTTCCTGTTCAATGAAGTCCCTAAACTTGAATTAATGGAAGGACAACATTGAGCATTTTCATATAGTTCAGAGACTAAATTAAACATGTACAAAAAATTTAGGAACGATATTAAACAGATTAAATGTTCAGGGACCACATTGCACATTAGGTTAAAGTTCAAGGATCACATTGAACAAATTAAAAACTTAGGGATCACATTGCACCTTGGGCCGAAGTTCAAATTCTGTTTGTGTCATTTTCCCTTTGGTATTTGCAAACTTCTAGTGCATTTCTCAAGGATAATGAACGGAGCACCTCAGTAGTGACTCAAAATCTAATAAGTTGACCTTGCTCTCATTGATCCTACCCACTTCCTAGGCAAGCTAACAAATAAATTGAGTGCAACACCACTTCTATGTGATGTTTATGCTCACCACTTCTATGTGATGTTTATGCTCACCACTTCTATGTGATGTTTATGCTCATATAACCTGCATTAGGACTTCCAGGGCACAGGAGATAAAGGAAGGAAATATACTATTCAGAGCCTTACTTGTTTGCTAGGTAGTCCATCATGAAAGTTGATGGCTTCCCTACAACTAATGGCTCACGCTGAGTCGATCCACTGATGGCACCAACCATAGAACCACCACCTGTTACGAGGATGCACAATGGTAACTGGTGAAAATGAGGGACATATAGCAAATCCAACAATATCATGGAATCAAAGCAAGCAACTTAAGCTGGTTCTCTCTAAGCAGTATCTTAAGACCCGAAAAGTTGATTAATTTGATGGATCATCTTCAAGATCATATTAAAAAACCATACCACTTCACTTTGTCTGCATGTCCTCAAAAACTTCTGACTGGATATCTAAGACAATTTAGTACATACTATGAGCCAAAAGGTAGAAAAACTCTACCTATGTTATACATTGCTTCAGAGGTCCAAAACCTTGCAGAGAAACATTGACATGGCATTTTCTTTTCATCTTAATGATCGATCATCAAGCTCACATAAGAGATGCAGAGTAATAACAGAATCATTGGGAGGCAAGATGTGTATACTTCATGTGAGGATAAAAGGTGTGGGTGATAGCAAACCTGCCCATTCCTGTGCATCAGTGAGATGAGTTACGGCATCGCGGTTAGTGGCAATGAATAGACATCCAGGATTTTCGCGTATACAAAGTGTTGCATACCTTCAAAAGCCGATGAAAACTTATGTGTGAAAGACCATTAAACATATAGGTTTTTGCATGAAGCAAAAATTGTAGGTTCATATTACAGATTTGACCATGCAGCAACTTCCTTCCGGCTCTGTAGAAGAGCTGTGTTTTGCTAGGATAGCAAAGAAATGAAGCAGTTATATATACAAATTTGGTTATCACTGCACGGAAAGTAATTCGTTTTATCTTCCAAATAATTTGTATTCTCTGGTTATACATATCATGGAGTGATGCAAGAGCGCTACATGGCTTTCACAACGACCACACAATTCCATAATGTTGAACTTACTGGACTTTGTAGTAATTGAAGTATCGATCAAATCCAACTACAACAGCACCAACCTTCATTTCCACATTGCAGAAAAAGAACAAATAAGCTCATAGGATATTCATATGAATAAATGGACAAGAAATTCCGAAAAAAAGAGAATGAGCTTACATCCTCATCATGCTCCATGTAGTATCCAGGCTTGAGCTCTATCTTTTTCCCACCGTCTTCCTGTTAAGTGGTACATGATCTCGTCAGTTAGCACTGCAACACCTTCTGAGTGGTTGCTAAAATTGCACTGGAAATAACATTTTGGCGTGAGTGTAATTTACATGACAGATGCCTGGGGTGGTTGCGGGTTGGGGTAAACAGGGAGGAAAATGGCTGATGCGGATATAATGCATTGTAAGACTGTAAAAGACAGACCGATGAAGCAAGGACTTAATACATCCAGGAGATTCGAACATCCGTCAGATATTATGAGACAACGTACAGGACCAGTCAACTCACAAAAGTAGGAAACCCCACAATTGGGTGATAATATAAATAGATGATTCTGAAATCTTGGTCATTAGATCCATTCACAAATCACCCAGCAAACCTCGGGCCTGCCAGTGTAAATGAGTTCAATGGATCATGCACTTCAGTAAGAACATCACAGATAAGATGAGTACCCAGTCTGCAAGAAGGCATTTGTTTTGGAGGATCTAGAGTCAAGGAGATATTTATGTATGTATTTGGGGGGAGAGAGATTTTTTTCTTTTTTTGAGAGGCGAAGAAGGTTGGGGGGGGGGGGGGGGGAGGGTTGCTGTTCTTTGAAATAATCGTATAGATATAGAAATGAAATATATCTTAGACAAGGAAATAACAGAAAGAAAAGGGAAAATGAAAACGATTCACATAGCATCTGACATTTCAATATGATGTCTGCTTGTACTGTATTTAGGAGAAAGAAGGATTTAGAAGTTGTTCGTACAGGACCGCCGAGGTATTGAAATCCAGCTAGCTCAAGCTCCTTCAAGATGCCATCCTCACCAATCACATAAACCTAAGCCATAATTAGCCATTAGCACTTCGATAGTATTGGCTAAAGAAGCTATGCAGCAAAAGTAGAACACTTTTTAGAAGCCTGGTCCTGTAATTCAGAGTTGTTGCATACTTTGAAACCAAAGTTAATCCCCTACATTGTGGTTTAGAAAAATGCAATTACCAAAGAGGTGCAACTAGTTTCCTTGCTGAATTGATTCAAATCCTGAATATTGTATCTATTTCTAGCATTCATGGTCAAATGAGCAAAGTTTCACGTGCCAAAGAATGAACCGATATGCAAAGCATACCTTTTTATCCCTGGGGAAATTGATAGATTTTAGGTACGCAGCAGCTGCAAAAGACGACGCGAATATCTCTTCCTGAAACAAGATAAATTTTGGATAGAAGCAAGCGAGAGAATCACCACCGGAAAAGGATGCGGAAGTCGCAGGCTAACCTCTTTCACATTGAGCCCAAGGGTCTCGAACTTCTTTCCATATTGCTTCCTGGACTTGGTCGAGTTGTTGGTAACGAAAACCAACCTCTTGCCCTAAAAGGTTAAGGATGATGAACAATCACTTCATTGACAAGGAGAGACAAACCTCCTATACAACAATGTTCTAATGGATTCAAACTACTAAAGCGCTCAGCAAGATATCACAATATCTTGTCCAGTGCAAGTTCAGCTGGTATTAGCAAAGATGGAGATTGAAATGGGAAAAACCCTTCTGCTACACAGCAACTCAAGAAGAGGAAAACCCAGGACCCCTGCCTTCTTCTGCAGGAAGAAGAAGAAGTGCCAAGTAGAAAAGGTGGAGATGGCCTACAGTCCGAACATGCCGGAACACGTTATACCATACCTTTGAGCGGAGCATATCGAGCGTTGCAGGGACTCCATCAATCAGGCTATCCCCTTTCCATATGACTCCTGAAAGAAGAAGAATACATGCAAGAGCAGCGTCACGACCGCCGTTTCAGCTACCCCGCTTCGAAAGCAACGGCTCTCCCGCGCGATCGCAACCGAGGAGGAGCGCGGCCCGGCGCCGGGGAAACACGGGAAGAAGCGAGAGCGAGAAGGTACGGAGGTTCTCACCGTCGCAGTCGAAGATGAAGGTCTCGACGGAGTCGATGAGGTCGTCGGCGTCCTGGAGGGGCTGCGCCGAGGCGCGGGCCTTGAGGGTCTCCATCCTCGGCCGGGGCTTGCTCGGATCGCCGCTAGAGCAGAAGCTGCTCCTCCTCCATGCGGCGCCGCCGCCCGCGAACCGAGACGGCGGCGGAGGAGACGGCGACGGCGGAGGAGACGGAGGAGGGACGGCGCGAGCGGCGGAGGGCCTGGGGACGGCGGAGAACAACCTCTGCGATGGCGCGCCGCAGCTGATCACTCCTCTGCTTAACATCTCCCCTTCCTTCCTTCCCCTCTGTTTTTCTCGTCCCTTCTCCCTCTCCGACGACACTCGCCTTAATTTCTTCGCATTTGTCCTAATTTTATTTATTCATTTTTTACCCAAATTTTTTTTAAAAAAAAATGGATTTTAAATATGTGGCTTTTAAATTTCTGTGGCCGTTGGCTTCCCCCCTCCGATCAAGAAGAGAGAGGCTTGGGGTTGGGGTTCCGTGCTGACGTGGCGGTTCGGATGGAGGATATCGATCTCTTTATCCTACACCCCCTTGTTCCCCTCTCGGCACATTTCACTTTTCTACCAAGAATTTCTTCTACATGCGCGAACCAATTCCCATCCATGCTAACCACTGGGGTTTGTCCTAACGGGGGAGGTGGGAAGTTCGAATCTTCACCTTCTCGGGGGGTTAGGGGTGGGGACGTGTAATTTCAGATGTGGGTTTCGACTCCCACGCCCTGCAAGAGGCAGGATAAAAGCCTGAGAATGAGTTGAGAATTAGAGTGGGACAGACAAAAAAAAAAAAAAAAATTTTCCCATCCATGCTGACCTGGCATACTTGAAATTAGGGATGGCGATTCCCGACACGGTAAAATGACTAGGCTCGACCACGGCACGAAGCGACTGGACTGGACTCGGGTGGATGCTGCTACTGTTCGAGTCGGTTTCGTGCCAACACGAGCAGGGCGGTTAATAATTGTGTCGTGTTCGTGTCGAATCTGCTCGACAGAAGAAGAAGAAAAGAAAAACGATCCGTATAACCCTTTTAAATTAAGGAAATAGTATCAACACAACCTACACCTGATCTCTTTAGATTCGATTACCTAGAAGACCGTTGTGTTATGTTATTGATGATACTACAGTGACTAAGAACAAGTTGTTCAATTTGTTTTGATGATATATTGTTAGGAAAATTATCCAAAAAGTCATCAATTTATTGAACTTTTGCCAATTCACTCCTGAAACTTTTAATTCTGTCAACTGAGTTATAAACCTTTTCACACTCTGCCAATTAAATATATTCATGACCGAAAATTGTTAATATGGATGCCGGCCATTGGTAAGGGCAAGTCTCACTTGCTCGCTCCCCTTTGGCAAGGCTTGACCTCGACGTTACTGGGCGAGGTCGACCTCACCCTACCATTGGTGAGACTTGAACTCGCAAGCCAACCTCGCCTAGCGACGGAGAGGGTGAGCCTCGCTGGCCCTTGCCTCTGGCCGGTCGTTGGCCATCATTGACGCCCGATGACCGGCTAGAGGGAGAAGGGAAGAAAAAAATGAAAGAAAAGAAAAAAATAGAAATAGAAAAAGAAAAAGAATAAAATATTATAAAAAATTGTCCATATCAACGCTAGTCGCGTCATGTCGGATGGCTGGTATCCTTGTTAGCGATTTTCGGCTAAAATTGGCTGGATGGACTTAATTGGTAAATTGTGAAAATGTTGAGAACTCGATTGACACAATTAAAAGGTTTATGACTTTTTTTATGACTGAATTTATAAAAGTGCAATAAGTTTATGACTTTTTTTGACAATTTTCCATCTATTGTTGACAGACTATAGTAAGCATGAATCATATCTCTTGTAAGGTTCATGATCGGGGGTTGATTTCATAATACGTCATGGGATATCATGCATTCGTGTCGACTCGTTATTTTAATTATGTCACACAGATCGTGTCGTGTCAATTGTCATTGTTTTGGTCACGTCCGTGTTTTGAAATTCGGTATGATTAACTAATTGTAACCCGAGTAGATCAATTCCGTAGGATATCTTTATGTCGACACGACATAAACATACTTGAGATGGGGCTTACCTGACTTTCAGCATATAATTTGAGTGTCATAAGTTCGATGTTACATGTTAGACAAGAACTTACACCATATAAACCATCAAGAGGATTGTGAAGCTTCTCCGTGGACTTAGAAAGAAAGTTTCTTGATAATTCTGTGAATACACTTGCTTGTTAGATTATTGAGTAAAATTAGAGGTTGCAAAACACGGGAACGTTTGAGTAATGAAAGTGAAATTATAATATCCTTTGTATTGTTTGATGTAGGATGCAATCTCTCGAAATTTTCTCCCCGAACGTAAGGCACACTAATCGAGCTACGTAAATCATGTGCTTTCAATTTGTTCTACGCCTTACAAATTTTTTTTTGGGCAAGCTATGCCTTACAATTTATTAATCTGCAAATCGAATTGGTTTTGATGACAATTGTCAATTTGAAACGGTGGTGCTTGGGGTCGAAATCGCGGCCTCTGATGATTGCATAAAGGCCCAGCCCACGATCACGGAGAATGGAATTGGGGAGTTTGAATCCTCGAACTGGCGGGGGAACTCGACGGAGGAGCAATGGGAAACTTTGACATGGCTGTTCTTGGAGACGTGCATGGTAGGCCGAGGAGCAGCACGCGACGCCGTAACCCTACGATAACGCGAAGAGATCATGGCTGAGCCAAAGACGTGGAGAAGCTCGTGGGAAAAGTTGGAAGAGGATGCAATGGAGCTTCGATACAGAGAACGGCGAAGAAGAAGACACACTCGACCTATGCCAAAACTCCGCCGAACTTTAATGACATCATAGTTTCTCGTAAACGTGTACTTTTTCTTTTCGAGTGTGGTTTTAGATCCTTCCGATGTCTGTAGGTTTAGCTTATGGTGTCGTTTAGTTGACTTTTTCCTTGACATACGTGGCTTGTATCTCAGTTTTTGGTATTATCATGTCTTCGTTCGGAATGCCGTCTTTCCCGGTTCCTACTTTTTGGTATCATCATGTCTTGGAAGTTCCAAAGCAATTCAATTTCCTTTCAAACGCATCTTCAAGCACTTTTACCATTGTAAGTAGTAGGGGTGAGCGGTTCTAAATTACGGATAGGTTCCACCTGGAACTTAGAAACTACCCATGGAAACATGTTCCTCATTTTTTGGAACCTAAAAGCTACTCATGGAAACATGTGCCTCATCATGTCAGGTTCAAAGGTATGTAGGGTAGGTTCAAGGTTCCAAAAACAGGTTCCAGGGACGATTTCAGGGTCTACCTAGGTTTCACGTGTATTATTAATTGAACAATTGCAGTAAATTATCACCTTTAATGACCATCATTTGCTGCTACAATCCATTGATCACGACTTATATTTAGACACACGAAAAATATGAAATATTAATAAGTCATAAAATGAAAGCTCAGACTAATGGTTCTAGATTATACACTCATCATGTAACACTATGAAATACCGTAGGATCACGCGAAGAAATAAACCAAGAAAAAATACAAAAAACTTGTTTAAGGTTTCATGTTTCAGGTTCTACCTACCCAAAACCTGGAACTCATTCATCAAAACAGGCTCTCCAATTTTTGGAGTTTGGAACCTACCCTGTCACGTCCCGACTCGGAATCACGATCGATGCTTAGTGACCGAACATGACCCGAACGGACCCGTGACTCGCGGAAATGTATTAGTTCGTCCCGTTTATTTTAAACAATCAAATGCGCACGCGGAAGCAAATAAACAATAAACGAGACAAACGGGAGTGAGATAAGCAAACAACGCACGTTATATTTACATAATATGTGCTTATTTTTATCGAGCCCTTACAAGCCACGCATATATTTTACATGCCCATTCCAAGGGCGATGCCGCAAAAGCCAAATATCAAACAACAAAAACTTTGGCTTGGGTTCCTAACTTCGCTACTACTTCTCGTCCTTCCCGCTCCTCCCGCTCCTCGTCCGCCTGGCCATCTCACGCTCCACCCCCGGTTTGCCCCTGAGCCACCCCGCCCGGTCCGCCGAACGGCCCGTTGAACCCGCGAAGGGGTCAAACCCATTTTACGTATGCTAGGTGGTACTACACCTCATACGGGTGAGGGACTAACTCTTCACGGCCTTCGTCGACCATCACATATGTTGTGATACGACGGTACCCACGGCCCTCCCGGGCGTCGATTACGGTAAGGAGTTCGGCTCGCATTTCCACAGGGTTCCTGAACCGGGTTGGAGGAGATGCCATATCACGGACCTGAAAAGAGGAAAAACAACGGGAGTGAGTCGGGGAGACTCAATAAGTGCAAACTCTAATATCAAGCGAGGACGAGACAATCGCCCTTCACACAAGTTGACTCTTACTGTACCGGCATCAATGTCAATTCAAATAGCAAAGTTCATGCTACGAAACCAACAAAACAAACATCAAACATGAGCATCACACGTGAGCATCATTTGTCGAGAAAGAACGAACTATAATCAACCATGAAACCAAGAAACGGGCCAAGCAACCCATGTTACAATGTATCGCAACTTCCTTTCCCGATATTAGGGAATTCACTTACTCAACGACTAACAAGAACTAGAGAACGAGTTAGAGACGGGTGAGCTCGGGTGATTTTCGGGCTTTCTCCTTGCTTGGCCGACCAATACTAGGCACACAAAGGCCAAATCGTGGGCTCTTGGGCGGAAATGAAGAGAAACACGGGCCGGTTCGGGACTCCTTGGGCATGAGGCTTCTTGGGTCAAGAAGTAAGAAAAACAAGAAACAAAAGGGAGAAGAAGGTGATGGTGATGTTGGCGTGAGAAAGAAGAAGGAGGGGGGGTTTCATGCATTTATAGAGGCCTTAGAACGTCCTAGAATAAGGCAATAATAGAGGGACTTCTAAGTCAAAAATCATCATGACATGCATTAAATGCCATTTATGAACTAGAGTAAAAACTAATGATGATGGAAGCCAAGCTTATCCAAGCATTATTGGTCCATTCTCTCTCTCTCTCTCTCTCTCTCTTTCCCTTGGCCGAATGGCCTCTCCCTCGGCTCCCCTTGGCTTGGCCAATTATTGGCCTTGCTTTTAAGGCTTATTATTGGTGGCCATGAGTCACCATGAGCCATAAATAAACCATAATTGAGGGGCACAACTCAGCACAAGAGCCTTAAATGAAGAGGGACACCTAGGCTTGCACCAATAATGGAGACCAAGAAGAGATAAGGTTGGGCTAATTCTAGTTCCTTCCTTTCTAACCAGATTCTAACCAGATTCTGAGGCCAATCTGAGTCTTCTGGAGCTGCTGGTCTCAC